GTATAATATATTAATTATTTTAGTGAAAAAATACATTTTTTTAATGAAGTGCTTCACATTTATAGAAACTTGCCATGTAGTATATGAAACATAGCACCATCGGCAACAGTTTAAATCGAGTTTTAAATAGTTTAAATGTCTGTACTGTGAATAGACAAGAACGTCACTTCATGAAAAATAACTATCTTTTAATTTGTGTTCCCATTCAAACTTTTGATCTGTGTTCCATGCTCCTAGATCCAAGCTGCAGACTAAATAAAATCTTGCTCTCTGTGTTTGAGTCAATCTCTCTGTCAATGCAAAAAAAGAAGAAGGGCTTGTTTCAGTTTCCTTAAGTTTATATATATTTCAACGATGAATCAAAAATGAACAAAAAAAAAAACAAATTCATCGTAGTATCTCTAAAAGATGTTTTTTTTTAGCAGTTTTTAGGCAGAATTGCCTGTTACTAAAACTAATGTTGGATAATGTCTAGGAAACCAAGATGAAAATGCATATAAATAATTGGATATAAATATTGTAATGAAGTATCTTCCATCTCAGATATTATATCTGATGTAGCGAATAAGAAAATCATAATACTAATCCGAATTTCTGGTCTCAAAATATACGACGACAACGAAACGGTTTCCAAACTTGGATAGAAAGGCACTTAAAACGTATTTTTTATGTTTCAAGTTTTATTGCAAGTCTTCCAATTATCAGACAACACCAGATAAGGAAACATTCCTTACAAATTATTCGTGAAATTAAGTCATTTATGAAGGCCTTCATCAATTACGTGAACTTGGAAAAGTTTGGTTAGAAGGATGAAAATAACCATTAGTATCTCAAAGTTATCGTTGTTGAATATTTTTAATAAAATGTAAATTATATAGACTAAGAAACTAATTATACCAATGTAGATACAAACACTGTACAGATATGATAACTAAAAATCAAAATAATAAAAATTTATATTTAACCAAATAATAAAATACTTAAATATAACTATAAAAGTCATTAGAATTAAGTTCTGGAAACGATTAATAAATATTATATATGTATATATGTTAGTTCTGCATTGAAAATGTTGGAATAAATTTTTAATTTAAGAGTACAATAAACACTTCTCTATTAAGTTAGTTAGAGCTAAGGGAGTACGTATAGAAAGCACAAACCTAGTATATATAGAAAGTAACTTTGCTTTAGTACTATCTTAACTATTACATGTATTTCAAAATACAGATGCAGTACAAATTTTAATAATAATATTTGTGTTTATTCAAAATGTCTAACAATTAAACCTCAATAAACATAATTTGCGTAAATTTAATTACGTTGAAGTGTTTGTATGGCAAAACACAAAGCATACAACCAACCTGAAGACAACGAGTCTATGTAATTCATGGCACAAATTAACCAATATTAACCACAGCCCAGCAATGAATGGAAACATTTCATCACATGTCCTGTCAACTAAAGCCTTAGCCAAACCGAGCCCAACCAAAGTTAAAACAATCAAAAGCCAAGACTGCCTAAATGTATGCTCAACTAAGCAATAAATTTGTGGGGCGATGTGTGTTGGTGTTCGTAATGGTGGGTGACTTGCATGCGAGCGGGTGTTATCTTTGTCTTATGCCTTGAAATATACTGACAAATTGTGATGCAAAACTGACCACATACAATGCAAACACCACTAAATTGTTGTGTCTGTGGCTTTCTGCAAGCAAATGTGATTGCAACACACTTGAGCAAAGAAAAACAGACTAAATTTACTTGCAACAACAGACACACAATTGTGAAGATATTTGATGAGATGTCGACTGGCATCTCCACTCATATGCTCACACATCAGTTAGAAGCAGCTTTTCAATATACTTAATTTACTGCATATTATCCTATCACATTTTTTGTTTCACTTTGATTTGCAATTATACTTTATTTTGTCGAAAATTGATTGGCAGCCCAAACCAGACGAAACTTGAGGTGTGGCAGTTCATTAAGTCATCCATTATCTTAACTTGAAAATTGCAGCACCGCGCTAACCTCACTTCCAATAATGTGGGCTGCTTAAATTTTACGGCTAGAAGGTCAAATTGGAGGTCAGATCGGTTACTTTGATCCTGTTGAATGATAGTTCGGTTGGTTCGGTTGAGTATTTGTGATTCATATCACAGAAATTGCCATTGTCTCCTGAATGTGCATTTCATGCAAATTAGTGTGCTATACATGAGAAATTTGTGGTTTTGTTTACTTGTTATTAAAAATGATGTGGACATAGGCAAAAATTATATTATCTTAAGAACTTTAGTTGAATTTCTTATATTTTTTAAAATATTTTCTAGTTTAAAATGGATAAAATAATATTTTCGCGTAAGGTATAAGATTTAATATTAAATTGGGACTAGATGCTCAAAATAAAATCAATTGAATTGAATCATCCTTTAATATTTGAATTTATACTACTGAAACACACACAAATTAAAAAAAACTAAAAAATGAAGACAAATAAAAAAGTGAGCAAATTAATTTTAGTAAAAAAAAACATTAAATTGAAAATAATTAAATAATGAAAATAAATGATGTTGATTTACCTTATCACTTTTGATTTCCTCCAACTCTAGTACTTCAGCAGACACTTTTTGTGCATGGCGATCCACACCAGGACTAAGTAACACCTCCCAAGTGAGCAAAGGCTTTGGATTCCCACCTTCGCTTACACAAGCCAAATTTAGTTCAGAATTCTCTTTGACTGGTACAAAAATATTGCCTGCATCCAGGCGCCTTGAGTCAATCAGCAAATATGGCGACTTTGGACGATCTAAGAAAAAAAGGAAAAATAAATATATGATGAAATTGAATATAATTATACTAATTACAGTTACAAAAAAAAGGCAATTACTTTTTTACTTCATACAAACTAAAAGTATGTTACATATTTTAATGAGATAATGAGTATATAAAATGTAATTGAAAGAGAGTATTTGTTATTATTAATGTATTAGTTATTGCCTATTAAAACTTTCCTCAAATTACTTTAAATTTTTCTTTCCTTGTATTCAAATATTTATTATTTCTTTTTGAGTAAACAGGCTCAAAACTATGCAAAACAAACTCATTTTGAAGCTGTCGATTACTTGTCCAGAATTTTTGGTCATTAAAAACTTTTTTTATTTTAAACTTCTGCTGTCATCAAAAGTTGGCGCGGCACGGCTAAGCGCTTTATGCGGAGCGAATCAGTGCGGCGTATACTTCAACCCACCCACAGCAGTAGCTACTGAGCTTAGCTCAGTTACAGCGAAAAGTTTCTTATAACAAGAAAACTTTGCACTGCTAAGCTGTTGTGGCTGTCATTAACAGCGCCAAATGTCCTTGTGAAACAGTAAAAATATTGAGAAAATGAAGACGACGTCATTTTGAACATGCTGCAACATTTAATAAACGATTTGCGACTCGAACTCTTCATTGTCTGATAGCGCATAAAAACTTTTATGTTGCATACTTTTAGTTACACGTTACTAACTAACACTTTGGGTTCCTTGGGTTCCGCTACTCACCTAATACTACCAATTTGACTGGTCTCGCGTTTTCGGTGTATCGGCGCGTATTCTCAGCTTCGCACTGCCACTTGCCATCGTCTTCCAGCATGACATTGGTGATGGTGAGCGCTCCATTAGCCTCTTTAATGAAACGATAATCGGTGGCACGTGAGGTGCGATCAATGGCGTGCACAACCTGCAAGTACCAAGGAGTTAAACAAAATTGGTTATTAAAGTTAATTTAATGAAATTAAAGTTTCAGACAAATTTTTATATTGCAAATGAAATTGAACACGGAAAAGTGATTTTTTTAATTTTTTTATTTTATTTTATTAAATTTTTTCCCTTGCAATTGCGTCTATATATTATTTGCATTAATAACTTAATAACTTCATTAAAAAAAAAGACAACAATAAAATGTAAATAATATAAAAGTTATTATAAATTTATTTATGTTAGCGTGTGAGGATATTCGTATATCCTTACGCAAACAAAGTGCATTTCGTGTTGCAAATATGCAAAACTAAATGCATTTATGCATAAAAATAACCATATTAAGCCATTGCACTGTTGCAGTGTTGCCACATTACTGACCTCAAGTCGCGCATGCAACACTGACAAGCTGTGCTGTGCGCTCATAAAATGGATAAAAACAAAAGTGGGCATTAAATATATTAAAAACAATTGTTACTTTTATGTACACATCGGCGTATTTATCATGAAATTTATGTGCATTTAATACACCCAAAAGGCTTAAAATATTTTGCATGCATGAATTGAAAAAGGTGGCAACTATCGGAAGCTTTACATTCGCCATGCGAGGTATTAATACCGAAGCTATTGTTGCGGTATTACCGATTTATAGATAAATTGAAATTTTGTTGCGTATCTGCAATTTCGTTTGAACAAAGGATTTCATCATGAAATAATGACATTCCATGGGTATTCTGCATTCAAAATATTATGGCTTATAAACTCTATTTTGATTCGGAAGAAAATTTAACGATAAGACTCTGTAATTGTGTTTAATTTTGGTAGCAAATTTATATGTGATTAAAGTGATTGGTACATCAATAGTTTCAAACAGCAATTAAAATAATAATGATCAAGTAATAATACAGTAATTCCCCCTACAACGCGGTAAATTGGTTCCGCGTTATAGAAAAACACGTTATAGGGGTATTCACGTATACCCCGTATACACACGTGCGAAGGTAAGCGAAGCTTATTATGAACTGTGCAAATCGTGTATATACCCCGTGTATATACCTTGGATTAAATCATCGATTCGTTGTTACTAGCAGTTCTTCACTATAGACATATCTTGGTATTTTATTAAGGTTTTAGTTTGGATTCTGGACAAACTCTTACGGCAGAAAATTAGCACGCGATTGAGCTAGTGTAACTTGAACCAACTGTTTCAGTCTCTGCTCTTAACAGTCACAGATGAGAGTGGACAAATGCACATTTTTTACGACAGGTCACGCTTTACCAGTGATGAATTCCTGTATTTCAAGAATGTTTTTATTGCAATTGGCTAAGCTTAAAGTTCTTCAATGCTTAACTCTTTTTTGCAGACTTAAAGCAGTACCACTTATAATACTTATAATGCATAGAATGGATATTTAGAGAGACTTGTTGTAGTGACTCCACGATACTATAACTTGTACTATTAAAAGTACAGAGCATAGACAGTGTTTTAATCAATCCCTTCGTATTATAAAGATAATTCATTCTTGAGTTTTTAGATGAAATCAGGATCATCATACAGCATACTTTTAACAACCGAAGGTGAGATCACACCGCCAAGCTTAAGTCAAGCAAAGACTTATGTGCGATAGAGGTTATACATGAGATAACATAATGAAGAAGACGAATATAGTAAACTTATCGAAGTTAACATATACAACCAAGTTTGACCAGTATGATTTCTGTGTACTTCTTCAAATCCTAAAGTAAATTCTAATGAAACTCATGAACAAACTTTATTAAAAATTTAGTTGATTGGGTGCCATGAATACTTATTTAGTATTGATTTAAGGATGTTAATATTGGTATTGGTGTGGGACTGGTGTCACTCGGTGACTTTGGATAGGTTTTGACAATTGTATTAGTACATATTCACGCACAACTCTAACTCTTCGTAGGAACCTAAATGAACATGTGTTTTACTATCGGCGGCTAATCTCATAGTATACACTAGTCTAAGTGGAAGTAATTTCCTTCCAGCCTTTAATTGCTAGCTTGCTTTCAGGAGCGTAAATCGATGTATTTTGCATTTTATTTTCACTCCGAAATACGCTCCGATTATGGCACTGATATCACACAAAATTATTAATCACGAATATTTCCATGAAACATCATCAAGCAGCAACAGCAGCAGCAACAGCAATAACAACAACAAAAGTATCCATTTGAATATCCAAAATTTCGATTAAATTTATGCCAAAAACGGTTGTATCGCAATTTTCAGCCTTTGTTTTTTAGTCGAAAGGTGCACAAAATTTGACCGAGAATGTGTGCAGCAAAGCGTTCAATTGGAAATTTATGAGGTAACTAAGGCATCGTGGATGCGGTGGAACTATTGATGTATTCAGCTTTATCTGCTGCAACTGTCGTTAAGCTTTTGTGTTTGGTGCGGACTGTGGCTTCACGGTTATGTGCATCCACAGCTTTTCTCATGCAACGAAGCGCGATGCGAACATGTCCACTGAGTGTCCACTGACGCATTATGGACGTGCATTTTGTAATAGAAATTATCGCAGGACAAAAGCACTAAACGAGCGTAAAAATTCATTTTTTCATTGTTGCCTTACAGGATATTGTAGTATGGAACATATGAGAATCATAGTCTTAATTTAATTTTGAATCTGTGATGTTTGTTTGTAGAGCAAAATACAAGAATATGTTATGAGAAAAGTATTGAATTGTAAAATATAATATCAACGTCAACCTAATATAATAGAAGTTGCCAGTTACAAACTGCTACATCGCATTTAAACAACATTTTCTTGCTATCCGAAATGTTCCATTCGTTTTCCTCTTCTATGGGTTATGACTGAACGACTAACTTGTAATTTGCCGCAATTATCGTAAATAATATGAAAATAAAGTTGCACATAAAATACATAAAAAGTTTTCCTTGTAAACGAGACTTTTAACTAGAATTTCTCTTTGTCAGGATATCATTTTGTACTGTACTTCAATGAAGCCATGCTCTGTTACGTCTTCCTCGCAGACAAATACTTGATGTGTTTTATTTGTATCCTTGTCCAGTAAAGTTGTTAAACTTTTTATTATTATTAGTTGCTTACAAATGCTTGTTAAGCAATGAGCAGAAGATAAGTAAAAGTATTTCTCATGTCAGCAGTTCTTGAGAAAACTACTAACACATTTTGCAATTTCTATACTCGAATATCTCGGCTATCGGTGCGTATGTGTAACATTTAGAGTTTGTGTCCTACAAGTTACATACGAAGTTGTTGGTGATTATACCTAGTGTTGAAGAAAAGTAACAATTCAATAAAATATTCCTCGTTTTTCTTTGAAAACTTTACAGGCTTATTGTCGCGTTGAGTAACAGATTTTTATAATAATTTCTTTTTTTTATTACTCTGTTGTTTTAGAAAGAAGAATATATTTTAGAACTAAACTTTAATAGTTTAAATTTTATTTAACATTTCATATTAAACGCATAGTTTTCACTTTATATTGCTTTATTTTTTCGATAAAGTAGAATTAGAACTGAAATGGAATATGTTGATTATCATCAGTAACTCAATGACTGGTAGCTCTCTCTGGAACAAACAATTTCAAATTAGAATAAATACCAGTTACACTTCAAACTATTAGACCCAAAAGTCTTACGAAGTTTCTTATTGCCTGTCACTGCATATAACATTTATATAGCTGATATATCAAAAAATGAAATATCTTCACCTTCCTTCCATGCTTTTACTCGGACAAGGCTTCTAGCAAGCAATAAATATCATAAATGAATTTATTGATAATATACTTCCATAAGTAAAAACACACATTAGCTTGGAGAAAACAAAAGTGATTTTACTCAATAGATAATCTTAAACCACCTTTTGTGATTATATATCAATTACATGCACATAAAGTAAATGGATATTTTTAATCCTCATTTTCAATTGAAAAATCACGGATGTATCAGCGAAGCTCATTCTATAAACACCTTACACTTCCAATAGACTTATCTTAAAGAGAAAGTGTAGGTTTGTTAAAAAAGACCGTCCGGAGAGAACATCACGGATGTATCAGCGAAGCTCATTCTACAACACCTTACACTTCCAATAGACTTACCTTAAAGAGAAAGTGTAGGTTTGTTAAAGACCGTCTGGTGAGACCGTCCCAATTCTATGACTATGTAGCATTTAAAACTATATTTAAATAGTCATGTTTTGTTAAATTATTCAAAAGGGTAGTACAACAGATCGCCATACTGATATCTGTATCTCTGTGAGTCTACGTACGCATATCCGCTAGACCTGGTAAGGCAATCTCTGCCACTCTGTCACATTAATATATTAAAAATGTACTGCCATTTCGTCAGTGGACTCCTATATATACCCTATATGATACCCTATATGAATGGGAAGTTGCTTCACATTCGTTGTAAAAGTAAAACTTGACAAAATACTATTTTGAATACTATAATTTAATGAGAAGACAGAACTGAAAGAGTCAGTCTATGTCCATGTAGGGATCCGCCATGTGGGGAACCAATTAGCTTTACTATACCGCCTAATGATTAATAATAACACTTGTAGATACTTTTATATTATTACAAATATTTCACATTTTTTAAGAGAATTTCTGATTCCCATCAATAAACTGCTTCACGATGTCAAGAAATTTTTATTAAATATAAATTGTGTTAAAATTTTGACAAACAAGGTGTGCGGAAGATGTAACTTCAGAGCTTCTGGGTACAATTACAAAGTCATATCCTTGCAATTGTTTAGTGTTACAAGATTTAGAAAGCAATTTCCTAATAAATTCAGTTAAAGTGATTTCGTCTAAGCGAAGTAAAGGGCAGCCACAGAGTTAGGCAGCGAGCATATAAACCCCGGAAAATGCCGCATTGTGTGGTATGGAAGGAAGATTTGGTGAATTTATTGCTCATTGACTGCATATAGTAGCGTACAATGCAATCAATAAAGAGTAAGATAG